ACTATGTTTGTCCTTCGTACTCGCGAAATACCCACGAAAAAAAACAAGTAAAATATAATAATAAAATAGTCAGAATATAATGAAAAATAAAAGGGGGAAAGAGCTGCAGTGTCCTACTTTTCTCTTTATTTAAAAAATTGCAAATGTGCCAGTCGCACGCGCACGCAGCACACAAATACGGCATTCTAATTTCGCATGATTTATTGACGAACCTCCGCGTTTTTTTTCCCGATAGTTAGTTACTGGTTCCAAGCTGTGAGCTTTATTCCACGAGCCGCGAGAGATGGATCGAACATCGACGCGACTAAAAAGGTGGGGGGTGATCGAACCCGCAACTGGGTCGCGACTGTTCTATCAGCGCCGACAGTCCACCTCGATGCGTCGGTCAGGATTTTTTTATGTTTTCCAATTTCTCTGAATTCATATTGCAGTCTCTTCGTGCACATCAATATGAGACAAGTATTCTCATTTCTAATCGCAATAATTTTCTCGTAATATCGCTTTGAAGTGCCGCGCGATAAGAAAAATGCCCAAGATCGGCATGGAATTGTGTATGATTTCGAAATAACACTTGTACAAATAAGACACATTGTATATTCTATTTGTGTTCATGGGCTTTGTTTCCGTAGAGTCTTTGATGCTTCTACAGAATGGCAACAATTTCGAAGAATAGCCTCAATAACAGCGAAGCGACTATTATGGTCGAAGCGACTATTATGACTGTAGGACAAGCTCACAGTATACACTAGCTCTCTATTCAGTTTTAGACATCAGTAATAAAATATAAGGCAAAAAGTCGGATGAACGAAAGTGATTGTATCTCTTATTACAGTAATTTCTCCTAGGCATTTGATTCTTTAGACAAAGGAAAATAACGCAGGATTATTCAACAACACTATATACGATGTAGTAATGATAAAACATATTATGACGTAATTACTTGATGATAAAACTTGTTTTGCATAGATTTACATATAGATACAAAAATAAATGTGTATACGTTTAAGCGAACAATTGCTTTAAATAGATTAATCTATCGCTTTGACAGATCAAAGAGGTATGCGTAAAAGTGCACTTATATGAACGCTTTAATCTTTAAACTTAAATGAAAAAAGAGAAGCAACGAGCGCGCTACCATGATATACACCAGCTATAAATTTCATTTCGCTTTAATAAAGCGAGGGTCGGAACGTTTTTACGGGCATGTCCTCCATTCCTGAAAGACGCGCCGCGGACGCGGGCGGACAGAGCGAGCGCGCGGCGCGTTAATTATTTTCCGCGTCTAATTAAAGGTGTCTACGAGACGCGCGGCGCGCACACCGCAGCAAAACACACCGGATGTACGGCTTGCGTGGCCTGCACGGCCTGGCCCCGTATGCTAATGAATCTTCCGAGGCTATAGGAGAGCTCGCGCTAACGGTCTAAGCGCAGACAGCGCGGCGCTGGCCGGTGGATTATTAACTCCGGCGGAGTCGAAAGAGGCTCTCGTGAGGAGAGAGAGCGCAAAAACGCGATTCTCGCGAAACGCGACAAATGGCGTGTAGGGCTGGCGTGCATCTAAATCACTCGGTGCGGCGCGGCGCGCACGTTCTCTTTTCTTTCTCTTTCTCTTTCTCTTTGTGTGTGTATGTGTGTGTCTGTGTATATCTCTCTCGCTCTGTCTCTCTCGATATACGCAGAAACGAGCCGTTGGTATCGCGCACGCGGATGTAGAAACCATTCCTGCTAAACGCGCCGGTAATTACAATTGACCGACATCCCGCGTCCGCTATCGGGACATCAAAGCGCCGCGCGCTTCCGCATGTCGTTCGTAGAATCGCATATACGCGATAGAACGAATTTACATGCCGTTGTTATCGCCGTGAAACTAATCATCGTCGAAACCCGTCGAAGCACGCCACTCGTTCGCCGTGACGACAAAGCGATGCCGTCACGCGACGTACAGTTTCATTTTATCCCTTTTTTTCGGTTTTCGCCTGATGAACGCGTCGCGAGAAAACGCGATGGGATCGAGACTATTCGACACCGTGGGTGGCAAATTCGAGCGCGGCAATCGATCTTGCGCTCATTACTTCGCGATAATCCACACGCAGGGTGCAAATAGCGTTAGTGGACGCGATTATCGGCACCGTTTTCGCGCGACATTTCGCACATTGCAGGCGTGAATCTCGACGCGGGCGCAAGTGCGTTCGCGTTTGCGAGGCACGCACTGGTTACAGAGAAGGAGGAGGAGGAGGACTCTGCATAGGAGCGGATAGTGGACCGAGTCTCGTACGGTGAAACCCGATCTCCGTTCACGTCACCCTTGAGATTCACGTCGAACCGCAACTTCCGGAAGGATTCGTTTCTCATCCGCTTGTCAGCCGACATAACTCGCGATTACACTTCGACGAATGCAAGTGTCGTGTTTCAGTGGGGGGAGAAAGTGATTGTCTCTGAGATCTGCGCGTAACACTTTCTGAGCCGCGACAACAAGCCTGCGGCGTCTGAGAAGGAGCGTTTCGCGGTTCTGGCGAGTTTAGGATTCAAGAGAGATTCGGTTAGCTTAGGTCAAGTTTGTGCAATGACGCAAAGCGAATATACTTTTAATCTTCGGCAGATAACTGCAACCAAAAAATACGTCGATAAAACGTTTCGTGCTACAGATATACAATAAAGCCCCTTGCACAATAGGCGATAGCGATAGCGATAGCGATAGCGACAGCGACAAAGTTGCCGACAAAGCTGTAGCTTTGTGCAAGGGGCTTAAGAGTGCACATGACAACTATTTTTTGCCCTGTAGTAAAATCGAGGAAATTAAATTACGTACGGCTTATGTATTTCTGAGTACTTTTGCTAGCGCTAGTTATTCCGTGCACAATGTTGCGGCTCTACATGCTCCGAGAGACACGGATCGCGCTCATTACGCATTCAAATCATTTTCGCGGAATCTGTTATCGTCGGCGGAACTGAAAGTATGGTCGACTCGACCTCGACTATTCATTCCGTTCCCAACGACTATTCATTTCGTTTATCGACAAGATCGCGTACTTCGCCCTGAGCATCGATTACGAGCGCGTTCGCTCAAGGCATAATATCCTGACGTCATCTACGACGGCCGGGGCAGGAAGTAGAGCCGCGACCGAACGGACATAATTTAATAAGAACCACCGCTTATCTAGCGAACGAATTGCGAGCTGTCAGCCACCCACTCATTTCGATCCGCGGAGATAAATAAATTAAACGCCGTTTCCTTCCCCGTGTTCGGGTAATCACCGATGCGATCGAAGAGCCGATCGTTGCGCAATCGATGATACAAATACCCTTCGAGACGCCGCTTTTCCTTTCGAGATTAGAAAATGCTTTGATCGTGACGATAAACATATTAAGAAGTAATAAGCACTCGCGATCGCGATTGCGTCACCGACGATTACTGCCTCGGCTTGAGATATTGCGGATTTCAGTCGAAAAAAAGAAATAAAAAAAGAAATAAAACGAAAAAGATCGCAGCGAGGAATTAGCTAGATGGTAATCTCCGAGATATTTTCACGATGTTTTCCTGTGCAATTAGACGCGGCGGCGGCGGCGGCGGCGCGAAGCAGAGAGCAAATATACAGGTACCTGCAGACAAGAACTCGATAGTGTCGCGATGAGATGTCCGTCGCCGCGTCAGCGGATCGCATCGCATCGCTCTCGGCTTCGTCTCGCCGTTGCATGTACGAAGAGAGAGAGAAAGAAATGTATTAGGAGCGCGCGCACCGTGCCTAAACTCTCTCGAAAGTTCCGCGCGCTCGCTCGCTTGCGTATATAATTTCGCCGCGGTCGGTTGTCGATCAAGCGCTTTCGTAAGAAACACCTGCGAGTCATTATCTCTCGCCTACCTTGGCTTTCCCCCGGCGCGGCGATTCGATTTGCACACGCGCAAAAAGAAAAACCGCTCGCCGCTCTAAGCGATAACGAATGGATTTTGTCGCTGCACGCCAGAAATCCGAAAGATCGGTGGGCGCGACGAAACTTTGGCAGATTCGCGCCACATCAATCGAGTGAAAGATTTTCTCCGATCTTTTCTTTTTTTTCCTCGATTGTGATGCATCGCGGATATCGTAATCGTACGTTGCGTCGCGTTACGTAAAAATTCACCCGTAAAAATCGGCGAGATTTATGGTGTTCGATCGTCGCGGTTGTGGGAGCGCATGAAGTAATTATGGAGATGTAACAGATTCCGTCGCGAATAAATTTGCATGCCATGCGATGCGTGCAATCTGATCGTGCCGTCGGCACGAATCCCATCGACGACGGCGGGGAGGCTTGTGATACCGGGCAACATTCTAAACGGGTCTCAAAGTGGTAACGCAAACCGATGCGGGCCTCGCTCCGGGCATCGACTTTAATCGACACGTACGGCAGCGGCGCAGCGATGGCGGCGGCGTTAGCTGTTTGCCGTTTGCGCCGTTTACCCGGTAAACTCGATTCTGTAAAGACTGGAAATAGCGACGGAAACGGGGCTTCTTGCAGTTTACGCCAGATATTTTAACGCCTCGACACATCGTCGACAAAGTACACCCGCAAATAGACCGCCCTGTGTTTGCCACGCCGTTCGCTCGCGAGCGACGACGAATTGCGTCTTTGCGCGAAACGACTTTTCGCGAACGTCGCGCGAATCGAACAGAATAGGAGATGAAATTTGAGCGGGTGCGTGGAATTTTGTGTAGAAATCAAACGCGAAGAATCTTTCCCCGATGATTTGATTTATTCATAATCACTTTTAATTCCTAATTATCCCCAGGCAATTGCTTCTTTGTTCTTCGAGAACAAAGAGTAATTTATAAATCAAAGAGTATATTATTTAATTAAAGAGGAGCAATTAATGAATTCGGAGCGCGAGATAAAATAGCGCAGGCGTGACAGCAATTTACGCGACGAGAGATCAGAAGTAGAAATAATTTCGACGGAAACTCGTCGCGAAAGCAGAGACCTATTCTTTACGTCCACCTTTCACCCGTCGTCACTTTGTGTTTCAGTGGTTTATTGCGACTATACCGCCTCGGGAAGGTCGTTACAGTTCCTCGAAGATTACATTGCGAAGGAGGTGCTACCATGTTTGGGCGACACTCGAGCATCCACGTCCATCTGCAGTCTACAGTCGTCTCTTTTTAGGTAAGGCGATAATGGGCTTGACAGTATTCGTCCTTCGAGAGAATAAATGCTGTTTCGCGATTCACGCAGAGTCCCGCTTTCGTTGAAATTGTCTGTATGAATTGTGCGAATAGAGGTCAAGAAACGCTCGTTTTATTGCAATTCATCGTGACTGGTTTAAATTCAGTTATTTAAATTTATTTATTTTTTTTCTTCCTTATAATTATAACATATTTGTATTATAAATAAAATTTGTTATTCATCTCGTTCCATTTAACTTTCAAATTAACTTTTAATTTATGCTCCGTGTGTGCATCATTTTACATTATTTATCGCAATTATTTCATTAACGTAATCTAATTTCCCTCTCTCGTCAGTCGATTGCTCGTGAAAGGATTTCATTCTGGAGAATAATAAAACGTTCTCGTTCACTCTCATCCGCTCACTCACTCACTCACTTATTCAAGCCATAAATTAATCTTATTCATATTTCATTCCAACGTAACTGGGACACCGCGGCATTATCGGACGAATTTTCAAGCGCGTACATACTTATTCCTCTCGCATTTATTTTTGTACGCAAATAACGTTAGGCGCGGTGCTCCCGCGCTTTGACGTGTCTCTCAGACGGCTTCTTGCCGACGAGTTTGCAATTAAATCGAGTTATCATCCGCCGCACAATTTCTAATCCGACACTCCCGACTCCGATAAGCCACGAGTTATACGAGTCGCGACGACGACGGCGCGCCGATTCTAGTCCGCGTCTATCGTTTTGCTCCGCGTCATATTGCCCGAGAGAGATACCCACGTCGCGTCCGGAAACTTTCTCGGCCGCGAACATAAATTTAATCAACGTCACGATTAAAAAGTCGCTCAATGACGAAGCGCCTATCGTCTGTGCGTTATCGCGACAGCTTTCATGCACGGCGACGGAAAACGTGGATCGGATCGCTTTAAACCTCGCCCGACCGGATGGCGGTGGCGACGGTCGTGCGAAATGGTCCCGTCTCGATTCTCCCGTTTACTGGCGCTGATGTCCCAGATCAATATCCATCCCCCGGAGGCCGCGATGCTTTCCCGGTGGCCTGCGAGAAGACCGCGATAATGATGACGATATGCACGACGGGTTTCATCATGCGACAGATGACATATTTAGTGGCGCGTGTACACAATATACAATAAATTGCTGCATGCGTCCTGCAATTCCAATCTCCCTCTGCCTGTCTCCGTGATTGCTTTGCTGATGTTGTTTATTTCAAATGACAATAGCGTCATTTGAAGCGCATATTGCTTTCTTCCCATAATTTACTAACAATAAGTACGCCTATGTACAACAGAATGTATAATAACACTCAATCAGAGTTGGAAATTTACTTATATCTATACTGTTAAATATTAAAGGGTGAAATTTAAACCATTGCTTTGAGTTAGATAACATTTTGTTGTTTTTAACTACCATGTGTGTCGAAATTTATTATCTTAACACAAAACAATGTTATTTTAACTTCATTGTTTTAGTTAAATTAACGACATATTGAGTAGGAACAGTTGCGACCTATAAGAATTATTTAAAATGATTCAAATTGAGTATAATTACAAAAATAACACTACAAAATTTAAGAGTATATATTCTTTGGTAAATATTAATATTCTATATGGCAAATGTTGAATAAAAAGAGATGTTGATTAGGTAAACATATTCTCCGTACCATGCGACGAGCGGAATGTCACTTGTCAACATTCGAGAAATTAATATAATTTAACTTTCTTGAGCGGCGCTTTGTCTCAATGCCGTCTGAATCCTTAAACGGGTAAATTATGACTAACGCGTGCCGCGAAATCGATGGAGACTGTGCAAACTGTTGAGGTGTGCATTGCTCTTCTCAACTTATGTCTCCTGTCTCACGTCACGTCACACGCCGCTAAATCTATATTGACTCTGCGTCAATCGCTCGAGCACGACGAGCTCACACGTGTCAGAGCTGCTCATGAATACCGGAGATGCCCGATGCAAACAGTTTTATTATCGTGAACCGGCGGTCGCGTTGTGTCTGGTGCACGACGGAAGGGTACGTAGCTCTGTTGTCAACAGCTCCTTCTTCGAGGGTGGCGAGAGAATCGCGCCAACTCTTTTATCGTCCATTTCTACGAAGGCCAGTCCCGTGAATTCGCACTCTCGTTCATGTTGCAGGCATGAGGCCAGAGACATCGTCAGACACGCGGTTGGGGCTAGCGAGCAGGATGCGGTCCTGTTCACCGGTCAAGGCACCGCCGCTGCCCTTCGCACACTTTTACGGCACCTCGATCTCTCCAAGTCCACCGTGGTCTTCGTGGGCCCGTTCGAGCACCACGCCAACTTGAGGCCTTGGCGCGAGCTCGATGTCAAGGTAAGCGGACAGCCCGACAGATAAATTCTCGCGTGGAAAAGCCAGGCGTGCTGATTCGAGCGCCAGATAAGTAGGGGCGGGCGGTAAAACGCGCGACGGGCGAAATGGATCGTTAAAGCGGGGCGTGATGGCCGTAGGAGATGTGCGTAGGAGAGATGCGAAGAGATCCCGATGGGATACGCAACAAACGCAACGTAGCTAGCCCCGAATTTTGGCAGCGTGCCGAGTATCTCTTCGCGCGAACGGCCATTCCACTTTCTCGTCGCGACCCTGTGCGCCGCGCGCCGCTTCGTTCTTCTATATTATCTAACACTTTCCAAAGGTCGCGCAATTTAGCGAGTTAATATTAGCGTGTAAATAATATAAATGGTGTTTTTGTATCTATAAATATTTTTCTTTTGTAACAAATGCGTATCTTGAAATATAACGCGAGCGGCCCGACGTCAACTTCGAGAAATTCGTCCCTAATAAATTTCGCGGGGACCTTGGGACACTCCGTATAAATATTTTCAAGGTGCGCGATGATTCTCAAAAAATGACCCTCAATCTAGAATAGTCCGGGGATTGACGTTTGATCGCTCACAGTCGTCTAATTGTGGGCGCGCCCGCCGTCCCATTGTCGAGCGGCGATTCTCTTTGACGATGCAATTAAACTTTGCCTTGCAGATAGTACGAGTTTCCGAGACCCGGGAGGGCTTCTTGGATCTGAATGATCTCGAGCGGGGACTCGCGAGAATGCGGAGCGAGGGCATTGCGCAAATGATCGGATGCTTCAGCGCTGCCAGTTGCATAACGGGGGTTTTGGCAGATGACGTCGCGACGACCCTCCTGCTGCATCAATACGGCGCGCTTAGCGTGTGGGATTACACCACCGCAGGTAATGATCGATTGCAACGAAAAGTCACGAGCCGATGCAATCGACCGCGATCAACTGCCGTGGTGCACGATTTTCGAGCCAAGATAAATAAAAGAGCAGCTAATTGATTAGTAAAAATATTATTACATTAGTTATGCTATAATTTTCTTTGGGCCACACCCAACTCTGCTGCGAGATGATTTTCAGTCACCAGCTTCGACGAGCGAATAACGCGTCTCGCCATGTGTGGCAGAGTCGTAAAGTAGCATACATGTCTTCGTAACAAAGATAACTTAAATATTACTATTGGCGGTACATAATAATACTTTACGTAAGCGCTTGCACGTTACATAACGGATGTATGATACGTGGTTCGGTGTCGGCGATAGAAGGCACGACGAGGCGATCAGTGACCGATATTGTTATAAGTATATCCTTTCTTCAGCCCCGTACGTCCAGATCGACATGAATCCACGTCTGCCCGGGGTCGGGGAAACCGCGGTGCACAAGGACGCGATTATTTTCGCGGGCCACAAATTCATTGGCGGCGTGCAGTCGCCCGGTATATTGGTGACCAAACGATGGCTCCTGCGAGAGGACGTTGAAGCGGAGGACATGAGGGACTCCCATCGCTACCACCGCGATCCCGAGCTGCGGGACGAGAGCGGAACCGCCGGGGTGGTCGAGAGCATCCGATGCGGACTGGCGGTTCAGCTGAAGGAGAACGTCACGCCGAGGGCGATCGTCGCACGGCAGGACAAGATCTCTCGGTGAGCGATCTCGCTTCTCGAGGGGATAATTACTTCTTTTCGCGCTTTGACTGCATCACGATTGAAGTACCGATTATAAGGATTGCGTAAGACATATGTTTCCCCACATCTTTTCCCACCGTTCAGGAAATAAATGCGATCGTTTCGAGTAATTTCTTGCCGCGAATGTCTTCCTGTTTACGAGCGCCGACTCATAGAAAGTAGCGTTTAGTGCTCTCTTTTTCGTTCGCGGGTTGTGATTCTCTTTCGGATAGCTTTGCGCGAGTTCACTTGCAAGAAACTACGAGTACAAATGCATCGATTGTACTGCACACGTAATTGAAAGATTTCCGATACATAGATCCATCAATTGTCTTCGTACGATGATTGTACGTGATAGTTCAGCACAATACTAATGGTCATCGCTTTCTCTTCAGGCAAGTCTTGTCCCACGTGCGCACCATTCCGGAATTGATTCTACTCGGCAGCTCGTCACAGAACGTGAAGCGATTGCCCATCTTCTCGTTTATGGTACGCCATCCTCGCGGCACGTTCCTCCATCATAACTTTGTCTGCGCCGTCTTGAACGACGTCTTCGGCATCCAGGCACGTGGAGGATGCGCGTGCACGGGTCGTTACGCTCATCATTTGATGGGAATTGACCGAGAACTCGCCAAGGAATATGAAAGCGTTCTCTTGGAAGGGTACGTAATTTTTTTATTGCGCTTTTTATTGCGCTCAAAGAAACTGTGTCTGATAAAGTAAATTTTCTGCGCTTGACGAAATGTAGATATATTTGTCATCGAGATGATTAGAATAATTTTCATTTGTGGATTGTCTTGAATTTGTTTCTATATATATAAGTCGAATATAAGAGGATTCTAAATTATGTCAATACTTCAGAAGATAAAAAGTTCAAAGAAAGAAAAAAATTGTATAAATATAAATTATTTAAATTTTATTTTTTGAATTATAATTAAATAAAGAAAATGTTTGAATTGTCTTTAGTATATTTATAACATGATAATTTAAGTTTTAAATTATAGAGAACGTAATAAAATCGTAGGAGATAAATTTTAAAGATGTTATTCATAGGATGACGTGTGTGTGTGATGTTTTTAAATAATTATCATTATCTCATATATCTTTGATTTTTAAAATAGAAAGAAAAAATTCATCAAGTGCACAGAAAGTCTTATTTTATCGATCTTACGTCAACAGCATTTCTATTATTATAAATAACGTAAAAAATCTGATTTTACTCAAATTGTGATATTAATTTTAACTTCTATTGCTTCGTGCAAAACATCATCGTCACACGTGAAAGATTATGTACAGATCGATAGAGCAGAAAGTAGTTGTCTATTAAACTCGATGCGGTGTAATTTCGCGTAATAAACGCGTAGGAATACACGTAGACGTCAGTCTTTTATCCGAACTTGGTGCAGGATTCTATTTTCATGAAAGTGTCGCGCATGCAGATTATACATAGTTTATTTTATTTTTAGACAACGGAACGGTACCGAGGAGACCACCGCGGAAGGTCTCAGACCGGGCTTCGCCAGGCTATCCTTTCCTTATTTCATGAGCGAAGCGGAAGTTGCCTTCGTGCTTGAAGCTCTCAAGATGGTAGCCACCGAAGGCTGGAAGCTGTTGCCGCAGTACGTGCTGAATCCCGATACCGGCGAATGGCGACACCACACCAACAGCATCTTCAAGGAGCGCAAGTGGCTGGGCTCGATTAGGTACACAGACGGAAGGATGAACGCCACGGAGAGGCGAGCTTCCGGTGCCGGCGTCTTCCCGCAGACCTACGGCGATTCCCTGCAGACCGCCCGGAATATCTTTAATCGCGCTCGTAAAATGGCGCAACGGTATCCGCTGCAGATCGACAAGAGTTTCAACTTTATATGCGAGCGCATGGAAGCGTTGCGCTGGTTCATGCTGCCGAGTGAGGCGCAGGATCTCCTTTTGGGTAACTCGCAGAACGTCAAGCAGGACGTGCCGTTCAATCCGTTGCTGGCCTGGAACAAATACAGTCACACGAGCACCACCGCTACCACCTGTCACGACAGTCTGGTGAACTGCCTGACGCTGACAAATGGTATGAGACGGCTGAACAGCGACATTCCGCGCACGGGCAACACGCCCCTCTCGATGATCTCGCCGAGGCATCGAAGCCTACCAGCGCTGAGCACGGTTCGGCGAACTCTGATGGCGACCACGGCGGAACTGAATCAACCATCGTCATCGAGCAACAGTGAGGAGGAGAGTCCAAATCAAAATGAACCCAGTCATTTCTCCGGTAGACACCGAACACCCGCCACATGTCCAAACTCGCCGATGCCTGTTAGATTCGCGGTAGGCGAGGCCGTGACCACCTCGGTCCTAGGATCGATATCCCGCACGACTGCCCGACCGACGAAAGAACAGAGAGAGTTGGAGGCAACCAATGCCGGACGTGCGAGATGCAACTCTCTAGGTAGCACCACCGACGGATGCAATGTGCAGGGAAATCGCGCCGGTGCCGCAACGACTTCCTCGCCAATTCCGCCGCTTCCTCTGAGCCCGCAAACTTTGACCAGCTTGGGATTAAGCACGTCGAACGGTTCATCGAGGCACAGACGTCTTCACTGCAGCTGCAGCAGTCAGACGGAGTTAAACACTCTGGAATTGGATTCCGCCGCCAGCCCGAGTCATTCGATCTCTTCCTTGAACTATAATAATCATAATCCGGCGTCGCCACCGTCTTCATATTCGTCGACCAGCGATTACACCGAGAGGTTGATAGGCGGTGGCAGATCATCGCCTATCTTAACGAATATGGGTCAAGATGATCTGAGCGCATACGTGAAGGAGATGACCAAGGAATTAGCGACAGAGATCAAATCGGAGATCCGTGAGGTAATTTCCAAAGTGGACGATGCTTTATCGGAGACAAACACATCCGAGAACACGCCGCAGCATCACTCGCGGGCTCAGAGTATAGTTAATCAAACATACATGGAGGACAAACAGTCGAGGCACGATTCGTTCACGGCCAGCGACATCGCCGAGTACTTAATGGAATTCTCGAAGGAAATGGCGAGCGAAGTGAAATCTGAGATAAGGTACTTTATTATCTGCATTAATAATACTATTAATAATACTATATATAAACTAAAGTACTATCATCTAAAATATAAGAATTTTTAATAGAAATATAATTAATGATATTACGTAAATTGTGTATGAACGTATTAATTAAATAATTTCCCGACTTATCATAAATTCATGCGGATTTTTCAGGTGCATGGTAAATGCCGTTGACGGGCTGCACAGGTACTCGCCAGACGCCTCCACTTCGGATGTTTCTTCGAGCGGATGTGGATCGCCCGATCGTGGAAGAATCGTGCTTCCCTCGTCGGCGTCCCCGCGCCTCTCGAGCTCTAGAAAAAGCGGACCGATCGAGATTATCAGCAAAGTCGGCGAGCTGTCGCAGCAGGAGAGCAAAATGTCCAGTGAATGCTCTTCGGACGAGACGGTGATTTACGTGATGAAGCCATCCGAGAGTGAGCAGCTGGTCCGCCCTCGTTCGAAGACCGAGGGTGAAGAGGTGGAGAACGACGTAGATGATTATGTAGACGATGATTCGCAGGAGGGACGCGGCGGCCTCGACATCAGCGACGCACGGAAGATCTTGCCGAAGATTTATTCGGCCGTGAACTCCGTCAGCTCTCAGGACAGTGGTATAAATATGTCTTTTCAAGAGAGCGATAAGTCGATAGACTCTTTGGACCTAAAACGGAGCAGCAGCGCCGAGTCCAATTCCGCTCACAGCCATGGACGGAAACCCAGGACAACATCGATGATGAGTCTGTCGACCAAGTGCGGCGGCAAACAGCAAACGCGTCAAAACGACAATCTCTCGGAGGATGAGGAGTGCGCGGGTGATCTGCGAGAGGAAGAGGATGACGGTCAGGAGAATAATTTTGACGATAACGAGTCCAGACTCGAGTTTCCGCGAACTCAATGGCACTGTCCGCCGAAGAACATCTGGAAACCTTCGGTGGAAGCTATGCAAGAATTTGACATGATTCGGGACAACGACAAGGTCTTAGTCTGCCTGTCGGCGATTGGCAAGGACTCGCTCTCCCTTCTGCATACTCTACATCAATACAGATTTTACGTCAGATCGAAGGGGATTGACTTCGAGATCGGTGCGGCCACCATCGACGCGGGTGGCTCCGATCCTATGGAACTAATGAGTTATCTGAAGGGTTTGGAGATTCCTTACTTTTACGAGGAACAGGTGACGGACTCGATCAGCATCAACGTCGAGAATCCGTTGGACGCTAGCATTGCCAGCGGAACCTGCAGTTTCTGCGACAAGTCGGTTAGGACGCAATTGTACTCTTTAGCGAAACAGAAGGGATATAACGTGTTGGCGCTCGGTCAGCATTTGGACGATCTCACGGAGAGCTTCCTCATCTCAGTACTCCACGGTGGTATGTTGAAAACCATGAAGGCGCATTACTATATACGTCGAGAGGATCTCAGAGTTGTCAGACCGTTTATCTATGTGCGAGAGAAGGCATTGAAGCAATTTGCCGAGAGCAAGAAGCTTCCTATCTCACAAGATTCACGAACTCAGTCTGAGGTAAAATCTACATCCTAGAAATTGTAGAATTACTTTCTAAGCTATCTGTATTAAACTACATCTATTTTATTTATTCTACGTAAAATTATTATCACCGTTATTTACTTGTAAGATGTATTCTTATTGATTTTCTATTACTGATATGTTACAGAAACAAAACAGAAGGAAGGAGTTGATGCTTCAACAGGAACGCGCGTATCCGCGACTACACTGGTCCGTGCGCACGGCTCTACGACCCTTGATAACCGCTCATGGACAAATTATCGCCTTTGATTTGGCATGCACCGGCAACGGCGGTAACAGTCCAAGTAGCAGCACCAGCAGCAGTATAAGCAGCAGCATAAGCAACAGCATAAGCAGCAGCAGCTGCAGCAGCAACAACGGCGGCAGCAACACCAGTAATCAGCAGAAACGACATCGGAGGACCAAGACGAATCCCTCGGCGAACGCTTCCTCGTCCCAGCAAACCGACGAGAATGACGAGACTGACGAGGAGCCTGTGCTCTGAGGAGGGCCCATCGCGAGATGGGATCCCGATCGTGTCGCGGTCCCATCCTCGCGTCTTCGCCGTCGACGTCCGGCATCGACGTTCGCTCTTAGACGAAGACGATTACGCTTTGCGGCCGCAGGCGCCGCCGTTAAGGCGAACGATCAGAAATGCACCGAGAATGGCAACTGAGCGACAATAGCAGGCGGCATTTAAACGCAGAAGACTTCTCGAGAAAGACGTTTCGAGAATCTCTCGTGTATATGAACATTATTCGCGTGTATCCGTCGCTCGTCGCGAGATCTTAGCGAGATAATCGATGCGTTTTGAAAAATATCCAGGTGATAAATTGCAGTGAATTATAATTGTCGACTGCTCGATGAAAAAAACGGATGTGAGAACAATTGCTTTCTGTAGCTCGATGAACGTTCTTGAAGAAAAATAACGCGGTCGGCAGAATGCTACTTAAAACAGCGGTAACGCAGGGACGATGTAAGCACAAATTCTTTGAGCTTACGACGGGATTGTTTGATTGTGAATAATTAGGTGTATCGGCAGCTGACTGGCACGATTGGCAGTTTTACAAGAAGATACGATACAATGATAATTGATCGACGAAGCTGATAGGGACAGAATGATTGACAGTGCATCGCGCGGTACATTGTCACGTCGTTCGTGGGCTATATCGTCGGCACGGAACGATAAACGGACCGCCGCCGAGACACGTATACGATTAAGGGACGCGATACGCTTGAGAGACGCGATAAGCGATAGCTGCTTAAACACTGACACAGATATTACGTGTCACGTATCTTAGAGAAGAAGTCATGCAGCGAGGGGAACGGAAGTTTCACGAGCAAGCCAAAAAACCTCGCTCTCTCGCGAGAAAGAGTCGAATCGCGAATATACCTTTTTTTACAAATATACTATTATACTTTTTATTTGATATACCGCCTTTGGCATCGCTCTAACGATCTTGCGATTGAGTCGCGATCGAGAAGTTTTGTAAGCGATCAAGGCTCCATCGATCGAGTCCTTTTCTACGTGTTTTCGACCTTCCCGACGATACGACTTGACTGACAGGCCCATTTTTTTGCGGTCAAATAAATGCGTCTTTTAGATGGTCTGTCGGGGACGTCATATTGAAATGACGCGATTACGTTATTCGTTGCAACGATTAATCCGCTTTCGGATGAAAAGCTTGATCGAACGTTTTGTTCCGAGAGGACCACATCGAGAGGTAAAGGCTGCGACCAATTCTCACCTGCATGAACTTCTACTTCGAGAAAAAGAGAGGCACCCGCGCACGCACACGACGCGTAAAGGATTCAACGCTTCTCGCGGATAAAGCGTATCAAGATGGATTTGTGTGTGAGAGTGTCTAAATATTCCCAAGCAACACACACAAGTCCATTGAGTCGTTTGAGAAGTGACTAAGGCACGTCTGAAAAATTAATACCGTTTTGTTTCCCACGTTGATGGGATAAGTGCGAGAGAGGCTTGTAACAAAACATTAATTTAAGGATTTGTTGGAAGGAACATGTTTTACGTTTCTATCCGACAAATATTTGGATAGCGATCTCCGATATTTCAGGCTACAAAAACGAAGGCTCTTTGCTCTTAACTGGCATTGCCGAAAGCACGGTGATACAATAAAGTTGCGCTCTTTTTCACCGTAACTTTGTTTATGCAGCTCGATCTTCGCTGTGATCGATAAGTTTAGTTTCGATGCAAGAAGAATTAACCGATGTCAGATGATGAATGAGTTGCAGATGAGAGTTTGATCACATCGCCGGTTTATTTAAGTAAGTAATAATGATGAATCACTGCGCGTTGTTTGACAGGATCGATAAAAAAAATTAAATTAAATTAAAAATTAATCCAGTGGAATAAAAACGCTAAATTTTCCATATAAAAGATGAAATTATATTTTGTCACATCAAAGATGTAAATATAAATTTATTTATTTTATATTTTGTCTGAAGATAACGAAGAATCGTGTGAAATCGCACTGATTGTCAGGTAATCAACGAATCCTAGATTCGTGGTCTTTTTGTATATTATAATTATGCTATCAGAATGAGAGATGGGCGAAAAAATCAAATTAATCCGCTAATCGATATTGATATACCATGGCTTTGATCATGCAACGAAATGCGTAATGTTGTACACTTGTACAGAGAGCATTCTTGTAAGGATTATTTCGTAAGATATTTTAGAATTGTAATAAAAAGTAGACGGAGAAAATAAATAATGTTACGGTGGAGAAAGGAGGCGCACGCAATTGGGCCACGTAAACACCAGTTAATGAGAGACGATCGGCCGGATGGTAAAAGGGGACTTAAAAAAAAAAATAGGACAGTCCGAAAGAAACCGATATCAAAATTTGCGAAAGGATGTCCGATAAAATATATAAACCGATAAGCGCCGATCGCTATGTCGATTATGATACTTGTAGCAGCAGCGGTCTTATGTTGTTCACTTCTTCTCTCATGTTTGGCTGTTGTACGCTCGCTAATCGTTAGTACTATAAGTAACGTTTAAGACTTGTACGTAGATCGCATGTGAAACAACGTACGCAACGTAGACGATGATCATATAAGACATAAGATATTACGCTATGTACGTACCGTTTGCGTCGTACTGATTTTTTTAAAGTGTTCGCTCGTTCGTTCGTTCATTCATTCGTTCATCGTTGAGTCGTGGATGTGAAAGGCGGAATTTAACAACCAAATGCGATAAGCGAGATGGAAGTTTTGATCTACACGAATCTTCGCGAATAGATATTCTCATATTTTCCGAGAGTTACGAAAGGGACATTGTTACTGTAAAGATATGTAAGTTTATTTATCGCTAATAAAAATGAACGTTGAAGAAAAAAAAATGAAGAAAAAAATCAGAAAAAAAAAAGATTTCATTCTTTTCTGTGATTAATAATTAATCACAGTAACATCGTTAGTACATAGTGCCAAATAAAACTGCGAGAATTTCAATATTTAGAGGAACTCGATTAAATGAATCGAAAAATCGATAGAGTAATGGGGAATAGAAATCTTGAAGGACGTCTCATATCAATGGACACAATAAGTATTTTAGGGAGTGGACGCCGCAGGGGATTAAATAAATCTAACAGCCGAGGCCATATATTTTTTAGCGATTTATTAAATCCTTTAAAATATTTGAAACAGCGTGCGGCTTTGTTATTGGCGTAACAGTGATATAGTCGTTTAAGGTACGTAATACGAGGAGGGCAAAAGCGAGCGAAGATCGATGTAGAGTTCCGCCCGCTGGTCGCCGGAATAACTTTTGGGCGAGAGAATCGTGGCGAGAGATCCATCGATTCGGCACGGTAATTGCGGATCGTCGGGATTGAGCGAGCGACGTAAACGATCCTTCGGTCCATTCTTTTCCCTTCTCGCTCGCTCGCTCGGGCGATCGCGCCATCGCGACGCATGCATTCGGCGCGTATCCGCGGAGAAGTCGCGGCGCGTCCGTTTTCCTCTTAAGATTAACTTTAAATAGAATGTAACGTTATCTAGTATTAGACGAGAGTAAAATCGAGGAGAAAAGTCCACATACGAGACGGAATTCATTACGGTCTAATCGAGCTTACATCTTAAGTCGCCCCAGTGCGGCATCGAGAGACTCGGAAAAGGGTGATAAGTCGGTACATAGAAGCCGCGTCGCCTTCTGATATCAAAGCCTTAGGATCGAGAATACGTGCGAAACGAGTTATCTCTATTTCTCAATCAGTTTTTAACGTCTCTCCCTCGTACTTGATGCTCGTCTCCCGCGTCGCGATGAGGAATATCGCGTATCCATGCAGCGTGCCCGGAGGGACACGGGCTTCACTTTCCGAATAACTTCCGTTTTCCGAGATAAAAGTCGTATAGTCGACCGCTGATGATTTATCCGACGTTTTAGCGAACTTATGGCGCGTCGCCAGGGGCCCTTATCACTCTTGTCCAGCGCGGCGAAATTTCACCGGCTCGTTACCAACTGCCTCGTAATATCTCGGTGACGGTTATCGCCGTCTCTTCTTAAACGTGCACCAACGAAAGAATCGCTCCTCGCAATCTTGTACTTTAGTCGATTTACATTGCAACTGGAATTTTTATTTTATTTTTTAGAGAGAACCGTTCTTCTTTCGAACAAATTTTTTTATCCACGTAAATCATGTGAGGTGAAATCATTGAATTCGCGTAGAGTTATACGTATTTTTTTTAGAATTGAAATATTTCACGGTCTAAAAGATTCACATGTTGCACGTTCATCAGCGGACGACTGGAGACCGTTAATTAAATCAAGTCTCACGAGCCATCGAGTCATGAAACTCGTGATTTTATCGAAAATCCCCCGATCGACGGGGGTCTCGGTTCGCGTATGACGTGTGTTTAGTATACATCGAAAATGCAAGTTCGTGCTGTACTCGCGATGATTCGCAGATAACGATAGCTCGGTGCAGATTTTTTATTAGTTTTTTTGTTTTAAATCTATATATTCACAAATGCGCTTAGCGAGACCTTCGCGTTTTCCAGCATTAAAATTTGATTCGAAATTTGAGAATAAGGATGAGAGAGAATTGAACGTGAAACGGGTTTCACGAAGTCGAAGTCGAGCCTCGTTCCGTTTGTCAATCGCACGCGCGTTTCGGAATTGCGAAACCCGAGAGAAAGAGTATTTCGAAGCGAGATTGCACATCGCTTTTTGCCCGTATCGGTACGGCTTATCTAACAGAGAGGTGAGAATAAACGTGATCTTAGAAGAGCGGAGATTGCAGGTCCTCGTCGTCGTCCTCCTCGTCCTCGTCGATTCCCGGCTCGCCGAGAGCATGAACGAATTCTGAAATCACGCAAACAAAGAAAAGATTAAATAAATATCGGAACAACAAGACTTCGCATATCGCGCGTTATTCCCTTTTTGAATATTCAAACAAAGAGAATTTAATGGTTGGATAATATTGCGAGAGAAAGAGAAGAATAAGTCGTACACGTTTCGTTTCTTCTGTAATCTTTTGAACAACTCTTATTCTTCCGTTACGTTCTCCTACAATTCTCTTTTAGATATGACTCCATCGATCATTTCAAGGATGGATCGTGCGGGAATAGAAATTGAAATTTCTTTTTTAGCCTTTTATCCCTGCGTTTTCACGAAACCGTGCAGTATACAAGGTGGAAGAAATCTTACCGTAGAAATCAATTCGACCGTCCCCGTCCACATCCACTTCTTTAATCATATCTTCGACTGAAAGCAAAATAGAAAGAACGATTTATAGCTTAGCGGTTTAGATTTTTTTTTTTTTATTTTCAGGTTTATCTACTAAATGACGTTAATATACGTAGAAGGAAGATTGGTAGGCACTTATTCTGGGACATTTAACAAGCTAAATTTTCTCGTGCTTCCCATTTTTATTCGCTGTCGGCCGTGATTGGACGTTTAGGCAAAATATGCGATATATTTCAAACAAGATTAAAAGGCGTATCGAATCCAAATGCGAATTCAAACGGGTATTCCTATCACGGCTTCTTGCATAGAAAAATGCGCCTATATTCCCTGCAGTAATTCAGTTAATATATCTTTGCTGCGTTGAGCGACGGGATTAATTCGCATCACGAGTGCCGAGAGCGATGCTGAGAAAGATATTGCCGATATACCACGCATTATTTCCACGTAGAATTTATTGCTACGAAAAGGAATGAAGACGGCATAACGATCCGTTACGGTACCACGCTGGCATTCGAGGACTTCCCCTCGAATGCTTTCTTGAAATTTTCGAAATTAAAATTTTCACTAATAAGAGAATTTAATTTCTCATTAGATGCCGTCAGGTCTCCATTCTTGCGCGAAATAATTACAAGCGTAATAATTACGATCGCTTCCAGTCTAACAGATAACTTTCTGAACTTTTAATATCTCTCTTAAATCTAAAATTGTGTGACTTCTATCAAACACTTTGAAACAAATGTAACATTTTGGCTTTCTCAATTGCTGACATTTTGTTTCCATTTACGGAATCATTTAACACAGTAATCTCCTAGTTTTTTTTTCGTTTTAGGTTTTGCGATAGACGGATTTAGAAAAACAATTGGCTTTCTGTAAAGAAACACATTTCGATATAGTGATAGATTTTGATATTATCTGAACTACTCGCTCGACAAAGAGGCACAATGTTACGTATGGCATAGCAATAGTCGTAGTGTACTTTATAAACTGTAATTCCGCCAATTGTGGGACACTTGTCCATCGAACATTGCGCGATTTAGTTTAAACTGATTACGGCCAATCAAGAAACTTGCGTCGATCGTCCGTTCGTGCTAGAGCCAGATTATCAAATCAATCGATATAAGCAGCACTAGATGATGTACATGTTTCACGTTTCGCTGACGCTTTCGGCGCTGAAATTACTTCTTCCTTCGTATCCAGCTACGAATTAACGCTCGCTTGGCGGACGCACAAGAACTCGTATTCCAACTTCCCGATAACGTCAACAGTTTTTCAACGCGATAATGATCAAATCATATCTGAATTAATAGTCGCGTTGAGATCACATTTTCCGTGTCCCCTGCCTCCCGTTCGTTTTTCTTGGAGCGTTAATTAACTGGGCGCAATTATATCGCGCAACAACAAACCGTATTTCCTCCCGGATAGCTAATTATTTCTGTAAACGCTTCTTTAAAACGCGCTTTCGTTGCGCGTTTCATCGCGAAATGAAAATTTGAAATACAAACGCGCCGCAATAATTAAGATCGGAAGACGGATAAAAGAGGAAGGAAAAAAAACATAATACGTATGCGTAACGCAAAACGCGAGGTTTTTCTTACTCGTATTTTCTGGCGTAGCCCGTGGTAGCTCGGCTCCATTTTTACCCGCGGTTTATTAACATTAGCGTGCTTGTAGGCGCCCGTATGTGCCCGCCGATCGAAACGTCATTCTTCAAATGTCGAATTCACAGCATCGCTGTTAACGCTCGCAGAAAAGCAACGCGACAGATGCTGTATGTACATTGCGGTCCACAAATGTGCAAGGTGGTCAACCCGATTATCGCATCGCGATTAATACCTGACGTCTGAGCAGATATATATCTTGATTTGCAATTGGTTGCAGATCGTGTTAAGTACAAATCGCGTTTCGAAGAACCGTGCAATGCGCAATAGCACAGATCCTGTTAAAGCAAATTTATTTTCAGTTAAAGTAAATTCGGCTTGAATATATCATACTAAAGATTTATCATCGATCTCGAATAGCACCAACGTTCTTTCGATACAATTTATTACTCACTAATTGGTACTTAGCTGGTAGCTAATACAACATGGTTGGACACGAGAATCCTACGGTAATAATCATGTTGGTATTGGTGACAAATTTGTCTCGACGGGACGTTTATGATGGCACGGGTGATTCAGCCGTTGCTCGTTTTATTTGCGCAAACATACTCGATTGGCACGGATGCGGGTGACGAGCTGACGTTTTCGCAACGAGAAATAATCGTGGAATGGTGTGGCTAAAGACGCGCGAATCTAGATTTGCGATGAGCGTGCGTCAACATGCGGAATTAGGGAACTTAAATCTCCGAGAATAAACGAGGGGCAAGTGTGCAAATAATATTCCAAAAGCAGAAATTACGATAACCGAAGGAGAAGATCGTGTTTTCTCTTTTCTTAGAAATAATATATGTATATGAGGCTGGAAAAATCCTTAAAAAATGTTCTTTACATTAGGAATAATACATTTGTACACACGGCATACAAATAATACCTACCTAAAATATATAACATTATTTTTAAGGAAAGAGAAAATATGATCATTATTTTATGCGATGTATTTCAGATAAAAAAATCCTTAAAACATTCTTATAAATAAAAACACCGTTTTGTTCGGATAAAATAAAACTGCAATCTGATTAATTTTCAAGTCAAGTCAACAGACCCGAAATGGCCATTAATTTTAATGTTTTGAAGTACTGCCTAGGAATAATTAAAATCCGATTACTTTTGTAAAATTGCGAAATTGCATTAATTTATTTAAGCAATCACGATCTGCAATATCATTAACAATAACGTGATTAACGAACAAAATTCTGTTCATGTTCATGGCATTAAATTAAAAGATAGTTAAAAATAGAACTTTCCGGATTAAATAGAAATTTATCCGTGTAATGCCCAGCTCCGCAACACAAAGTTGCTCTTCCCGAGAATCAATTGGCCTTAGGTATACCAATTTAGGTGGAAATAGCCTGCTTTAGCTTTTATGGTTAAAGTTTCTCTTGTCGAAAGTATATCTGAAGCGAAAGAGAAAGACAGAGAGAACGTCGACACACGTTATATCCGCGTAATCGCATCACGTTCATCGCCATGGGCCATCGGTGAGTGAATGTGTTAATATCTACTAAGACTTACTCTCCTCCTCGGAAAGATCCTCTCCCAGACATTGCAGTACCGCTCTAAGGTCCGACGCAGTGATATACCCACGATTATGTTTGTCGAACACCTGTGTGCAACAAACAGAAAAACTAATTAAATCTATGACGCAAATCTCTGTCACATCCATATATCTTTACGCTTCGCGCAATGTTGAGATTTTTTATTACATATAAAAAATACCGAAAGCGGCAAATTTCGTGAAACTTTGGTCGTAATTTCTGTCAACAGTTTCTTCAAAACGTATACGATCCGAATAATCGCCAATGAAGCGCGACGAGAGAAACCGACGTCTTTCCACGTCGAGTTTGTTATTTCATCTCTCGCTCCGTCGCTGGATTTTCACCGGGATCGCGTAGGGATTCCCGGAGGGCAAAAGTACGGCAAATATTATTTTTCTTCTCTCTGCCGGGGAAGTTATCCTCGGAGCTCATTCTTTTTCGTTTCTAAAGATATTTCGCCCTTGTGTCTGCTTATTAGTAAGTAAGAACGTTTTGACGTTTAGGCGACTTTCTCGCGCGCGGCGAAGGAAGGAAACCGAGACGAAAGGAAACGGAGACGGAGTGGCTGACGAGGGAAACAATCATTCTACCCTATTATTTATTGCACACAGCGGTCAATTGTACTAGTACGATTTGTACGAAATCGAAGCAAACAGACGCGAGCGAGAATCGAATTCACCAGATCCTTCCCGAAATTGAATTGGAATTGTGATGCTGCACTAGGAGAATTGCTTCCTGAGAAATGTTTGCGTCTGATACCAGTACGACCATTTATGTTGTTACCACTAACAGTATCTCGTTCGATGACGCTCTATTGAGGCAACGAACAAGGCATCTCGTCGAAAACGTCAAACTCCAAGAAAAGGATCGTCGAAGATCTTTGCCTCGCGTTTCTGTTTCGCTTCGCGATCGCGTGCGGAGTACCGCGAAGCAGCACTTTGGCATTTAACGTGAGAGACAATGCAGCAACGTCTGGCATTGCAAACAACATTGTTACACGCGATATTACTAACTCGCTCGCGCGAGCATCAACCAACTTGTTTCACTCAGCTTCGGTCCGGTTCGGTTACACTAATGAGTAGTCATTACAACTACAGAGAATGCGGCTTAGAATGCGTTACCGAACTCCGTTTGTAATCTCCGTCCGTCCGATGACTTGTCGAGCAGCGGCGTCTTTTGTCCGTCCGCGAAATCTGAATTCCGTATGAAAGAGGCTTACCCTAAGCACCGAACTGCTTTTCTACAATTTGAGAGGATCGATTCCGCTGCGCGCGTCTTTTGCAAATTGCGTGCTTGTGTAAAAACTGATTTTTTTTTCGTATTCCAGCATTCAAATACAGGATCAGTAATCGTGGGACGGAAGGAAATAAAGGGAAGGAAGATTGAAAATAGAAATTGAGGTTGTAGGACAAAATTTTTCATACAAGATTTTTTTTTTAGAAATTGGCTTTGAAAAATCATAAATTTATCTCTCCTTTTTTTTACATTTAGATTGCATAAGAAGACTTTATATTACATGTCATTTTAACACGACAACTATTAAAATATGAATAAATTATAAATAAAAAATCGGAAATGTATGCGGTAATAAATTATTGAAAGAGTATTTATATGTTAAAAATATGAAGAACATTTCTCTCAAATAAAATATGTTATTAATTAAAATATAAAAATACATTTCATAATAAAATGACTTTTAGATTAAAATTTCAATATTGAATGCTTTGAACATTTTAAGCTTTGATAACGTCGAGGTAAATTCGTCAATAAAGATCTCTGAAGATTCTACACGTAAATTTAAATGAAAACAAAATATCATCTATGTTTCAATCTTCAAACTTGATTTTCTTGGACAATCTCGTCTGAAATGATATAAATTGTTATATAATTTCAATTTATTTTTCTACAAGGAATCATTCTCTTCCGTCTATCACAATTGTGGATTTTATTTTTGTACTTATATTTTATACAAATATGAAATATATATTATAGCAATAAAATTATATAAGATATATAAAAGTCTGAAAAATGTGTGTAAAAATGAACTTCGTAACGCGCAATTGTTATTATCTCAGAAATCATTTAAACGATCGATAAATCACTTGACATGTTATCTGTATGTTTATACAGATAACATACTGACGTGATATCTTTATATTTGTACTCGTGTACTGCGATAAAACGAGCTAAGTGCCAAGGTATATTTTCGCAGCGCGGAAACACGGCAGATAGGCAGATATTTGTCACTTTTCCTCGGTGGAAATCACCGGAGTGAGTCCGTTTCCGACGAAAGTCAGAAGGGAAGGTGCCGCGCCTCGCCCGCGGAAATGGGAAATAGAAGCTTGGAAAAAAATGCCGTCGCCGAGGTAGAATCTAAAGTGACGTCTCGTCGCTGTTCTCGGTCGGCGTCTCGGTCGTCGTTTCCCTAATACGGCCGAGGGAAATTACAATCGGACGATCGTTACAGTAATTAGTAAATTATTTAGCCCAGCGACCGTCCGATCGTTTCGACCAATCGATATCGAATGGTTGTATGAGAACGCGTCTGCGGAAATGGCCTAGCTGTCAATGCAATCATCGGAAATAATTATAATTATAATTAATTACAATTATTGTGCATAATTTAATTAAAGTTATAATTATCATTGTGTGTTCTATTGAAGGTCCTATTGGTATCCAGTGTAAATATATTCTCGGCTATTATTTGCTATTAATATTTTCTCATTTGACGAATCGATACTGGCCCGCGGCCAAGAAAATAATGAACATCGTGATTTCGCTTATCAAGTAATGTACACTTCCGGCGGCTGCACGTATTGTACATATATATATTTGGCCGAAACATCCGTATGGATTTGTGGCCCCCGAAACGCACGTCTCGATATTAGAGGGGGGAGTGCAACGCGTGGCGTTCACGTTTTCACGTCGGTCCGCCTTGGGCGTACCACACCGGAGGATTACGCGAAAATAAATCACCCCTTCCCCTCGTTTACCCGCTCGTAACGTTGCCTGTCCGATAAGGGCCGACGAAGAAACGTTACGGCGATTAGCCGTTCATTAGCATGCAAATGCGAGCTAAGGAATCTCTCACGTTTTTTTCCCCACCGGAAGTAAAGTTCAACGTGAAACTGCTCGCGCAGCGATCCTACCGAGACGCCCGATTCTCCTGAGGTAGGTACGTTTTATTTTTCGATTTTTTCCCCGCTGCCAATCTTTTTGTTTTTCCGTTCGGAGAGTTAGCTGCGTCAAGTTTCGAAGCTTTCGTTGAAAAACGTCAGCATTACGTTCCCGCTATGATTCACGATATTTTAAAGCTTGAATTATGGCTTCTAGAACGACGAACGGTGTCGGTCGCTCGCATTCGTATCACGATTGCGTGGAGATCCCAAAAAGATGTATGTGTACGTGTTGTCCCTCAATGTTACGTACACATAGAAAAAAAGGCTTATGCGTCAGTCGCAACGTGTTTCGCTGCGATGTTGCTCGCAGCGCGCCGACACTCAAACGTATGTGAAAACGATGAATCTTCAACGACCCTCTCTTGCACCTTCCACAGTTCGATATTGCTTGCAACGGATACACTTGATTGCCATTATTTGTTTTTGCGCGCTTGCATTTGTGTTCGCGGCTCTCTACTCGTTTTCCTCGCCCCTTTTATCTTGCCGGACCACTGTATTCCCTGTTAGTACATTGTTTGCCCCTTTTGTTGCCTAAGGGGGATTGTTGTTGTGCGGATTTTTGCGTTACGTGCCACGCATACGTTTTATCCCGCTTTTATCTTGCACCCTTTGTTACGAGAATTGTTTCAATTTTTTTTGTTTAAAATTTCGGTGGTTTTCTCCCGAAATGGTTAAATCGGCTCCGCCGGCAGATACGATCAATCGTAATTCTGGGTAAAAGAGCACCTGCGAGAATCGCGGACGCGATATAAGATAAATCTCGCGGATAACGTTGTTTGGATATTAGATTTTACGAGAGCTCGATTATTTGCAATGTAATCTCGCCTCTCTCGCACGCGGAAACACTTCCCTTTCTCTCTTCACGCCATAAATCTTACTATCTGTCCGCGATAACCCTTCGACAGGTTGCGGCTGAGTCGCCCACCCCCTTTTTACACTCCCCATCGAGAGTCGCTCTTCCATTTCGGTCGCTTGTTTTCCACCCTTTACACGTTTCCCGTGTTCCCTCCTTCGCTCGCTCCCCGTCCCGCGTCTTTTATTCCAGACACCGGGACGATCCGGGCGGCGTCACGGGTGGTAGTCGGGCCGCGAAGATTAAAATATCGACTTGGTGACTACAATACGTCACATTTGGCCTTAATGCCCCCGATTGTTAAACACTTTAGCGAGCTGTGCAGTTTGAAGATGCGGAAGAACTTTTCGTTCCGTCGTTACGCACTGTAAATTCCATTTCTACAAACGCGGAATACAATCGCATTTGAAGGGATTTCAGAGTCGAGAATGGTCGAGAATGGATTGATAAACTCGTAATAAATTTTTAATAACTTTGTTAACAAAATTAATTAAATAAAATAACAAAGGATAGGAAATTAGTTGGATAATAGAATAGCGTAATTTTGTATAAGTAAGACTGTAAAGGGAATTAGAGAAGAAAGACTCGACTCTCTAATCCCACTGTAAAGTAGCGGAATATCGAGATGATTCTGCCATCAAACTGTCACTAAAGCAAATTTAAACTCCTAGGCGTTCCGCTGTAGCCACAATAAGGCGTATGCGTGTGCCTAAGAAAAACCTGGGAAAGCCCGAACGGGCGATTTACATAATTCGCGAAGATAAGGGAAAACGACGTAGTCGCAACGGCGCGACGAGCGGTATCTGAATGCGCATTAAAGTAAGACAGCGTGGAAGCTCGGCGTACAGCCAGGAGGCAACCTTGAACAATAAGCCCCTGCGGGAGCGGGAGACAAATTTAATAATAAAAAAAGAAATTCTGCACAATAGCTTTTAGGAATGACAGACAACGGAAGCGGACGGAACCGGCGGGACTAGAAGTGAATTTAATGAAGGGCAATTAGACCGTCTGAAAATAAATCTGATAGCACGACTCG